AAGAGAACCCACCATCCTTCTCTTTAGTGTCTTTAAAAGAAAGGTGACAGATGTTCTGGTCCTGTTCATCCTCTGCTGAGCAGCCACTGTAAAGACCAAGCTGGTAGTGATGGTCACTGTCAACCTGGCATGGTCAGGAGATACCACCATGGCAGTGAGCACACCATCAGTGACAAGACCTTCAGAAACATGTTTAAGAACATGCCTGAGTGGTATTTTATAGTAATTTTGATGGCTTTTGCTGCCTGTTGGCTGCAGCAGTTGCAGTTTCATTGCTGCAAGCCAGACTCTGACTCCCTCAGGATTTATCCCATTAGTTATGGTCTCCTGAGCTTGTAGTCCCAGAGGTGAAAACAGCAAATTTGAACAGCAGCCATGAGCTCCCTGAAGGCAGATGTGGGCCACTGGGAAACTACGTAAGTGGGTAGGGGAGACTCCTCCACACTGTCTGCTGGAGCACTCAGCATTGCCTGGGCAGAGCTCAGAGGACATTTTGGAGATATTTCAGTATTTAGAAGAAAAAAAGCCCCATCCTAGTGAGCATTTGAATAACATATTGGAGGTCAACCCACACCCCATCTCCCCTGACTTTCTGAGGCTGCTGACTCAAAGACCAATGCATTTCCCCCATGGAAACAGCAGGGGTGTGACTGTGGGCAGGCTGTGCAGACACAGCCCACAGTGGGTTTCAGCAGGGGGGGATGATATGCTGAGCTGCATCTGGGAGGGTGAACCTGAGAGCCAGCCTGGTGCCACAGCATCAACCCAAGGAAGGACAAAACACGGACATCAAAGGTCTAGGCAGAGTTAAAAGGTCTTCTCCCTGTGTGGGAGCTGCAGCTCCTGGGGAACATTGTTCTAAGGATGGGTCTCTGTGCTGGTGCTCAGCAGTGCAGCAGGAGGGAAGCCAGCAAGAGGACTTAGCTCTGAAATCTCTTGGCCTTGGTGGCACTGAACAAGTCTTGCTTTCATCCAAAAAGTGTTCCTTCACATCTACCTGCCCTGTTGACTTGACAGGAAAGGGCAGTCTGCAGAGTCTTGGCTGTTTTGTAAGGCTGTGTGCTCAGTAGTATCCTGGTACCATCCTCCCCCAGCCCACCAAAGGAGTATGATAAAAATAAACAGGATTATTTTAATAATGCTAACAACCTGAAATACACAATGAGGTAAACCATGATACATTATCTTGAATGTGTTGGCAATAAGGATAATTTTATTTTAGCTGCAAAATGAAATAAAACAGGGAGACATACATGGGTACATGTCTTTCTGTATAAGGGTAATGAGTAGGGGCTGGAGGGTGGGATGGAGATGTGTTGATGATCAGCAGTTGCACACACACTTGTACACATCTCTGATAAATAATTAATAGAAACATAGAGTATAAATCACAATTAACTTAATAATGCTAAACCTAACATAGATCTCCCTAAAGAGACAAAGCAGTAGTTATCCCAGTAACACTGAAAGTGTATCTTCTTGTGATGTTGCAGAGTTCTGGGGTTTTGGGGGGGTTGGTGTTTTTAATCCCTCCTGCTTCACTTTCCTCACAGTCCCTCTTCCCCCGCTCCCCCTCCTGCCCAGACCTTTTTTTCTTTAGCAAGTGTCTGTCTGAAAGGGCTGGGTTTTATTTGTTTTTTAAGTGCTGGGCTTGGGCAGCAGAAGGGTTCATGGAACTCCTTGGTCACAAAGTAGTAACAGACACTATCCAGGCAGCAGTTGGATGTGGCAATACACCTTGTCATGGAGGAGAAGTTCCTTGTAAGCTGGAGCAGGAAACAAGTAGCTCCAAAGCTCTCCATTATGACCCTGGCAAGTATCCCAAGGTAGGCTGGCAAAAAACATATTAGAAATACAATCAGATTTGCATAAATAATGTGAAGAGCTTTCTGGATTAATTTCTTCTCTGGTGAATTTGTCTTCAGATGTCTCTTAAGGTTCCTAATTACTTCAGTGGAGCAAAAAGTCAAGATTGCTAATGGAAGAGTAAAAACGAATAGAATGAAAAGCACGGTCAGAGTAGTGGGTGCAGAGGTATCACTCTGAAAGCAACGTGCAGCATCTCTGTGCCAAAGCTGAACGGTGGTACCAGTTATCACAGAGACCCACAGAAGCCCACAGAGAAGAGCAGCCCTTGATGGAGATCTGAAGATTCTGGCTTTCAAGGGGTGCTTTATGGCAATGTATCGATCAATGGAGATAAATGAAATTATGTAGATGCTCATTACCATGTTGATAAAATACATTGCCTCTATAAACTGGCAGAGTTCATTCCGGGTTGACTTATTCCAGAGCAAATAAGCCATGCAGGGCAAGGTGCAGATGACAAAGCAGTCTGCAAGGACTAAATTGATTACATATACCCTGGTTTCTGTCCACTTCTTTATCTTCCAGAACACCCAGAGTGCAAGGGCATTAAACAGTGCTCCAAAAAAGAAAATGAGGTTATACAGGGCAAATTCAATGAGACGAACATGGTGATATAGTTCAAGATTTGTGACACTGCAGTTGTCAGACACATTCATTGTCCTGATCTGTAGATGGTGTTCTGAGACCTGAAATAGGAAAAGACATAGTAAGACTTTCCTCCTACCTCTTTATAGATACATGGCTCCTATCAAAAAAAGGTATTTAACTAAATATTCACTTTGTTATGAATGTTAATTTGAGTCAACAAAGCTGGCCTTCTCTGTCAGCCTGTAGCTGGGATGCATCCTTTGTCAAGCTTTGTTTATATTTTCTCAGATTATGAATAAGTATCTCAGAGCAGAAGATGTCCCCATAGATTGCAAGGGCATCCTGTGACAATATGAACACTAATTCCTTAAGCCAGGCTGTGCAATTGAGGTAGAATTACCCTTAGCTTGGTTTTGGTCTAGGCAGGGATTGCAGCAACCAAAGCTAAAGTCCAGCACAACCCATGAGCAAAAGCTCTTCTACCAGTTCTGCTGGCTTGGGAGACAGACTAGAGGGGTGAAGGGCTGCAAGGGCATAATAGACATAATTATGCTCTGGCTCTAGCTGGGCAGGTTTCCAAATCTTTGAGCTACCTGTGAACCTGGAGCTCCTGCTCCAAGCTGAGGAAAACAGACATGAATCTGAGTTCCTGCATCCCAAAGGCATGCTTTAAACCCTAAGGGAGTGAGAGAGGCATGCTGGTCTATACCTCCCTGGGAGCAGAATGGGGGGTGGAAGGATTAACCTGATTTTAAGCCCATTTTTTTCCAAGAGAGAGTATGAGAGAGTATGATGTCAAGCAGAAAGACACACATAAAAGAGGAAATAATGGTGCAAAATGAGGAAGTTGCCTTGAAGGGCTGCATTAGATGGTTCCTGTTCAAGGCAGGCATCCTGCCACCCTAGGAAATCCTTGAGATGTAAGTAGCAGATACAGAGCCTCTGTCACACTGGCTGTTAGATGTTTTGCAAGCGTATTTGTTGTGTGAAGAGAGTGAGTGAGTTCATGGGCTGATAAAAATCAGCTTTCATCAGACCCCATCCTGTGCACAGTGGCTCTATGTGACGTGCACATGGAACAATTCTCTGTACTGGTGATTTTATGTGTATGTCACACAATTTTTGCTTGCATCTAAATGCACTTTGGAAAGAATTTAACCTTTTAATTTATAATAAGTTTTTTACCAGTCTAACAGGGGAGTGAAGTGGTGAGGGACCTGGTGAGATCCTACAGCTTTCAGAAATGTAGAAGGAGAACACTATGACTGACCATGCCTGATTAAGCAGTTATTTGCCCCCATGCAATGCAGACCATGGGCTCAGCTGGTGAGGGCACTGACTGCAAAATCAGACTTCAGTTCTGAAGTAACCGATAGCCTCACAAATAGCTCAGTTGCTGGGGGGATGTGTAAGTGGGCAGTAGCAAAAAGTAATGTGGCTCTGCATGGAGCTCTCTCCCAGTTCTTGTGTGCTTAGGTCTAGGTTTCTCCACAGAGGCTGGCTGCCTGCACTATGGATGGCATGTGACCGCTCTCACCTGATGAAAACCTCTCTGTCAGTAGGGAAACACTCTACATCAAGGGCTGAAGCTGCCACATCATAATGCTCACTAACTGAGGCAGATGTCCTGGTCTGCAACACTGGCCCTGGTCTCCAACACCAGCAGCTGTCTCTGACCTGAAGTACAACACAGGTGAACCAAACTGGTGGCTCTGCAGCTGAAAGGGTTCTGGCTGACACCACCTTTGGAGCTAGAGATGTGGCCCAAATGCAGTTCCCAGCATCAGTACTTGCAAATGCTCCAGGCCATGAGACAGTCCAGAGACTCTGGGTAGGAGGGAGGAAAACCAGGTTTAAAGCAGGCCATATAGGGTATGGCTGAGCACAAACCACCTGTAAATAGATGCAGTTTGATAAAGGGAGGAAACCAGGTTTAAAGCAGGCCATATAGAGTATGGCTGAGCATAAACCACCTGTAAATAGATGCAGTTTGATAAAATAGCATATCCTGTGACTGCTGGAAATAGTTAAGATGGGGTCAATAAGCTGGCTGCAGCCTCAGGGGGGTTAGGAAGCAACCTACAGTTATGAGAAAAGGGTGAAGGGGGCTGTAAAACAGCATCTTGCTGCTGCTGGAGGACCTGTAACAGACAGGGTCTTGATGGACAAGGTCACCAGTACTGTGGAGTATATCCAGAAGTCCCTTCCAACCCCTACCATCCTGTGATTCTGTGTGGTTCTGTGATTCTTACCAGAGAGCTTGGAAGAAGAGAAGCAAGGTGGAGGCTGAAGGCACAGTGGGTGTTGTGGCTGTACCGTGGGGGCAAACATCCAGTGTTTTTCCCAGCGGGATGCCCCTGAGGAAGCAGAAGCAGTGGAGGGGAAGCCCTGCGTGTAAAATCCTCCTTCCTTCTTGTGGAGGGATCTCAGAAGTGAGCAGGTGCCAGAGGGGTGAAGGGTGAATGTAGTGAATGGAATGACAAAGGACAGTGTGGGAGCTGTGGGTGAGTGAAGGGAGCTGGAACTGAGTGGAGAGGGAGGAAGAAGGAAAATGGGCTGGGAATTATGGGGTACAGCACAGCACCCCCATCAAGTACCTTCAAACCTGCCACCTCATGGCAACTGCCCTGATTTCCACCTGTGCTATGCAGTGACCTGATCTGGGAGGAAAGCACAGCCAGAAAGAGGGGGCAGACAAACTGCTTCTGAGGCAGAAGAGCCCTATGTGAGGGCCCTGCCACAGCACTTCAGTTAAGAGGGTTTCCTCTGTTTTCAGACAGCATAAAGAAATTTGGAAACTGCCTGCTCTGACCTTGCTGTTGATGTTCACAGCTCTCTCAGACATAGCCATCTAGGGCACAGCAGTTTATCCTTTTCTTTCTTGAAACTGGTGTTCTTTCAGGCTCATCTATCACTGGATCCCTTGAAAACAGCAATGCAGTCACTCTAACCACAGAACAGCTTTGAAAGATTCAGGAAAGGGGATGCAAGGGTTCACTTAGACTAAAAAGCAATCTCTTGGAATCAGTTGTTTCCCATGATGGGATGAATTTAGCTTCCAGTTCCCAGCTGCTGTCAGGAAGTAATATGCTCTGATCTTCCAGATAAAGTACCTTGAAGGTACCTTGGAGTAAGAACAGTAACTGAAAGGCTCAGAGATCACAACCTACTGCATGGACCTCTGTGGTGCAGAGACAGCAGTGCCCTGCAGAAATGGGGTGTCTAAGCCTCCTCTGCCTCCTCCCAGCCACAACAGGACCCTGAGCGGCAGTTCACAGAGAGCAAGAGAGAACAAAACAAAGTAATGTTACCTGTAGGTTTAATGCCACAAAACCAGCAGTGGGTCCTGGCACAGGCAGGGCATGTGGGGGCTGCGCAGCCCGTGTCCTGGTCAGGAGGAGCAGGCTGGTCTTGGAGGACAGGCATGGGCTGCACATGCAGGGAAAGTGTCAGACACCAGCAGCTCACTGGTATTTGAGGGTTCCTGTAGCACCTCCTCCTCCTGTATAGGGGAAAATTTCATGTCAGTTTGGTCTTGAATGCCAGTCTGCTGGCAAACAAACAGTGTCAATAATCCCCAGTGAGGTCTAGTGCCTCATCATTCAGCGCTTTCTAGAACTGTATGTTCAGCAGCAAGCAGCGCTCCTCAGCAGCTGTGGCTTCAAGAAGCTGTGCTGAAACCTGAGCTAAGCAAGACCAGGAAGATGCTCTATCTGATATTAGATCACCCTCTGCAGCTGGAGGTGCAGATCCCAAACTGAGTCATGCTTGCACAACCTGGGGCAGTGGGCACACCAAGAAGCTTGGAGTGTAGCATAGGCTACCACCTGGGCTGAGGAGCAGCATAGATGATGGAAAAGGGGTTGAGCAGCTGGGGCCACAAGTGGTGAACAATGGCACCAAGTCTAGTTGTAGGCCAGGAACCAGTGCTGAAGCCCAAGGCAAGGGACACGCCAGTACCTGGAGGGAGATGGTCCTTCTCCTCTGCCATTTCCTGCTCTGGGCTCCCCAGTACAAGCCAGAGGTGGCCATATTGAAGAGAATGTCCAATCCCAGGGCCCCCCAGGGCCCAGCTGCTTTCCGTTGGGATCAGTTGGAGCCAACGGCCACCAGAGTCAGCAGCACAGAGCTGTGCCAGCACGGAGCTGGGAAGAGGCAGGGGCTGGCAGAGCAGAGCTGCCCCAGCCACAGCAACAGCAGCAGCAGCAGCAGGACCTGCTTCCCCTCCTCTCTGTCACCAGCTGCACTGCATCCTTGGTGCCCAGCCAGGGCCCTCCTATCCTGGGCTGGATGGGCCAGACCAGCTGCTGCTTTGGCTCCAGGTGGGCTCCCTGTCCAGGGACACACAGGACTGTTCCAGCCAGGGCCCAGAGCAGTGGCCTTGCTGATGGCTGCTGCCCTCTGCTCTGCAGGGAGGCTGAGGTGCTGCTGAGCGCAGATGTGCAGCTGACCCGGGGCCACAAGAGGAGCAAGAGACGCCTTCTCCTCTTCCAGGAGGAACTGGTGGTGGCCAAGTTGCAGTAAGCCTCTCAGAGCCCTGCTGCCTTTCCCCAAAGCCCTGGCTCTGGGACACCCTGGCAGCAGCCCCAGCCCCCAGCACCCTGGTGCTGGATGCACCCATGTCTGTTCCAAGGGCAGCTGGGACACAGGCTCTTCCCAGGGGCACCCCGAGGAGGCCACCTCCAGCTGACTGCTGGCTGCTCTTCTCTGCAGGGGCTGCACCACCCTCTGCCCACGGCTCTGCCTGGCCCTGGACCAGCTGTGGGTGTTCAGCTGTGGGAAGGAGGAG